CCCCCGCCAGGTGGAGGTAGCATTTTGCAGCTGAGCTTGGCAGCCGCCTGCACTTAACTCTGATGGGAGGGAGATCAGACATCCAGACCTCTAAGTTCCTTTCCTGGCCAATACTAAATGCTGTAGTTGTGATGCTTTGTATCTCTGGACTTCCTTCCTTCAATACTTTTGTGATTGTTCTTTGTTACTCACATGTAGAGTAATAAGGAGATGTATATTTCTGTAGATTCAGCACTGACTGTGCGACCATGGCAACTCATTTAACTCTTATTCCTTATGATCTGTACATTGGAACCAGCCTACCTGCCTTGTGGAATTCTTTGTTTTGAAACACCCAAAAGCAAAGCTCTGGGTGGAGATTAAATTTTACTTTAGTTACATTGTGCAGACACCTTAGTTTCTTGTGCCATTGCGGGAAGATAAAGTGATTGGTCTTAGTACCATCATATTGGTAATAATATAGCTACTGTTTGTTAGCTGCTAGTATGTACCAGGCCCTGCACTAAATGCTTTGCATACATTACTGTGAATCTTCACACAAATATACCATATCTAAAAGTTAATCTTTCTACCTTAAAGATAAAAAATCAGCGGAGGCCATGGCAGGAGGATTGCTTGAGGCCAGGAGTTTGAGACCATCCTAGGGAATGGCTGCCTCATCTCCACCAAAAAAAAAAAGTTGAGGAAATGAAGGTCCAAGAAGGTTGAGTAGCCTACTCAGCTAAAAAGTAGCAGAAACAAATTTGTCTTCAGAGCCAGGCTTTCTCTGTGACACCAGGCTGGGTTACTCAATCAGAACTCTGCATTGCTATCAATACCCAAGCCTCCTCTACTCAATCTTTCGCTGGAGGCACTGGGAAATTGAAAATCAGTCTCTTACAGTTCCACCTCATTTCCCTTCTTTTCACTCTCTGGTGAAGAAGTTAATTGGGCATCAAAGTGGCCAAAAGACTGGCAGGAAAAAGAAATTGCAGCGATAGCAAAGGCTTAAATCACCCACAGACTGGGCACCCAGCCTCCAGCTGGTCAGAAATTGCCTGGACCCTAAGTTTCTTCCCTTGTACCAACAAAAAGTTAGATCTCTGAGTTAAGAAACAGGGTGGCATGACCACTCCTTCCACCCTCTTAGTCAGGACTGGCAGATCCTAGAGCTCTTATTGGGATGAAAGAGCTAGCAGTTTGCTGCCTGGTGTATTTGACATTGGGCCCATGCGGAGTTTTGAAATTATCAGATAAAGGTTGTATCATTGTTCCATCTAGACATTTGTTCGACTCCATAACCAGAAGACTGGCCAGGAAGTGGTGTTTGTTGCTGAGCCAGACAGCAAGAACGTGTACAAGTTTGAGCTGGATACCTCTGAAAGGAAGATCGAATTTGACTCTGCCTCTGGCACCTACACTCTCTACTTAATCATCGGAGATGCCACTTTGAAGAACCCAATCCTTTGGAACGTGGTATGTGCCTGAATGCACCTGGGTGAGGGTGGCCCTGCTCCAGACGCAATGGGCTTCTTTCCATGGGCCTGTGCCTCCTACGGGGCCATAAGTAATCCTTGTGAGGTGAGGCACTGTGTGTTGTCACCATAGGTAGTCCCAGGGTCATCATGCACATGGCATGGCATGTGGTTGGTGCTTAATAAATGGTGATTGAGTGAATGAAAGACGTGGAGATTTGCCCTTGTAAGTGCTAATGATCCGCGAATTTCCTCCAGCTGGTCAAAAATTGCCTGGATCCTAAGTTTCTTTCCACGTACCAACAAAAAGTTAGATCTCTGAGTTAAGAAACAGGGTGGCATGACCACTCCTTCCACCCTCTTAGGCAGGACTGGCAGATCCTGGAGCTCTTACTGGGATGAAAGAGCTAGCAGTTTGCTGCCTGGTGTATTTGACATTGGGCCCATGCGGAGTTTTGAAATTATCAGATGAAAGGTGGTATCATTGTTCCATCTAGACATTTGTTTGACTCCAAAGGAAGGAGGTTGCCATATTATAGCAAGGCATGATGAGGGTAAACAATGTGAAAGGGAAGACCCTGGCCTTTGAGGTATGATCCCAAAGAATTGTGTGATATGCACAATGCTAAGTAACTCAGCGGACCTTTATTTAGCATGTTACAGTTTACATAGTACCTCATTTCATGCCTCACTTTTGATTGGTGTGATGACAAAAAACTTCTTTTAAGATGTGACATTTAGCAAGCAGATGAGGAAAGGCAAGGGCTCCTCAGGACAGGATCTGGGAGCTATGGGATGATCACTGGAGAGCAGCCTGCAGAAAAGCTTGAGGTGCTCTCAGTGAGGCATGAGTGGTTGTGTCTCTTGGAGCACCTGAATTCTGTGAGTGGCAGGCCATGAGCCTGGGAAGGTGGCAGAGGCCGAGTTGCCGGCCCTGAATGGCAATTGGCTCCCTTTGCAAGACAAAGGGGCAGCTTGGGTTTCTTGTATTGTATTCAAGGCTCTTTTTCTTTTTCTGGACTTGGGGCTACTTTTTGCAAGAGAGCACCTTCTTTTTTTTAAAAAAATTTGACTAAAGCACACTTCCCAGTGATGCCAAGCAGTTTCTGACTGCCACTGTAACTGCCTGTGTTCCATTGGCATTCTTATATTAAGCAACTCTACAGGCTCTCCATCCCAGCAGAAAGATAGAACTCTTGCTCTAAAAAGCATTTTCAAAGCCGGGCTCGGTGGCTCAGCCTGTAATCCCGCGCCTTTGGGAGGCTGAGGTGAGTGGATTGCCTGAGCCCGCGGGTTCGAGACCCGCCTGGGCATCGAGACCTCATCTCTACAATAAATCAAAAAATCAGCCGGGCGTGGTAGTGCTCGCCTGTAATTCCAGCTACTC